CAAAATGATATCGTAAGCATAGTTGTCAATGTATATGTGCGAGGATTAAAATATAAAGGAAGCGTATGTGTGAGAGAGTATGTGTGTGCGCTAGCAAATTGTTGCTGATGCTGCACTTATTTTATTCTCATGTTTGTTTTACGATAGTTGATTGCCATTACTTCCCTAAAACATAGCTAGCTGAGCGATGGCATTGAGGAGAACGAATGTCTGTTGCCCTTGCAGTTGTTAAAGCAGTTGACTTTTCCATTAAACTTTAATAGAGTTTGTCATGATTTTAGCAAAAGAAAGGATGTTTATCTTTATCTTATCTCTCGTAAATCACAGTTCTGTTTTTAGTGCGAGACTGTAGTGGTCACTCAACATATTCAATGGATGTTTCTCGAATTAGATTTAATAACGCATTTTCATACAAAGTATGAAAATTCGAAAATGATTTTGCAATTTTAAAAATTGAATTACTTTGTTATGGCAAATTTTATGGATAAAATACTGTCGTTGTTGTGCTAAAGTGTTCCATACGCACATTAAACTTTTTGGAGATATATAGGTGGCTGCTAAGGTTTGATGGCTGTTCTTTTTGATTTTGTTGAGATATACGCATAAACATACGCAGTCTGTTTAAAATAAGATATTTTATAATTACAGGGTGAGCTAAAAAATTGCAACCAACTTCAGACTGCTGTCATTTCTAAGTCACTCGTCCGACAGCTTTTTATATAATTCCAGTTACAGCTCATTTTATTGTTTTCAAGCGTACAAAAGCATATTGGTGAGAACTTGCCAGAAAACAAGTTATTCGTAATGGAATTCAAGTGTGATTTCTTTATATTTGGCTGGGAAACCACAAGCGGCTACTGTTAGAGCACTCCAGCATTTATTTTATTTATCATTTATATAATTAAAAAAAAAAAAAAAAAAAAAAAATATATATATATATATATATATATATATATATATATATATATATATATATATATATATATATATATATATATATTTTTTTTTTTTTAAATAAGACAGCTAAAAATTCTAATTAATTGAACTCAAACGCGTTTCCTTCTCTCTATTTCCCCCAAAATATCCAACACGTATCTCAATAAGGAATGTCATCAACAAATTCTCTTTGCTACATTTTAAATTGCATTTTTTATCTTGCGTGTTGGAATTTTAGGGTTATTTATTTGTTGGCCAAATTCCGAGCTGAGTGTGTAAATAGAGTAACCAGCCATCCAGCCAGCCAGTAAGTCTAGTTAGTTGGTGTTTAACACTCACACTCATGCTCACAGCTATCCATCCCCAAGTGTGCAACATTTCAAAGTCACTTCCACGTACAAAACAAACACTTGTTACAGAGCAGCATAACATTGAACTACACTCACGAACAGCACGAACGTCACATCTGTTATCAATTTCCCTATACCAAAATTTTAGTTTTTCTTTATGTTTTTGCTATTTTCCATTTTCTTTGTTTGGCTTTGCCAAAGTATTGTCACTTTTTTTCTCTCTGCCTCTCTCATTTTTTGTAATATTTATTGCGTGTACAAAACGCTCTTTGCTGTTTTGGAATTTGCGCAATACATTCGTTGTTTATGTAGAAGTGAGCGACATACATTTTAACATATGCCCACAGAACATTTTGTAATAGAAATGGTAATGACACTTTGGCGTTTTCTCCCACAGATATCAGTGATTTTATTTATTAGAGTGGGTCTCAGAATACGCAATAAATCTTTAGGATGGAAAATTCTCTGCAGAAAAATATCAGCCATAGCCAACATATGAATAATAGCATTCTTTTCCATCAAGTACCTCCACAATGTTCACAATTTTGCTAAGAAAAATTAAGACTTCACATTAAGGAAGGTAATACCCGATGTAGCTAAACCACTTCGCAATATTTAGATAAGGCTTGATGAAGTAGGAAAAAAATGATTATTGGCCTAAACATTTTTTAACCCCCGACATAACGGCAACATTTAAAAAAAAAATCGTAAAATGTGAATTCAGTGTCCGATTTACTTCAAACTTACTTAAAATGTGCGTGAAGTACCAGATATTGTTGACCAAAGTATTCCATTTTCATACTACATCTAATACAGATAAAAATATAGGAATGGGCAAAATTACGAGAAAATCAAACATTTATTTCCAATTTTCTGAGAAATCATAAATTCCATATTCATCTCAGGTTTTTGGTTGAGAGAAATATTTAGATATAGCAAGTTGTAAAGAATCGCTGACTTGTTTTGCAAGTTATGGCAAAAAAGATATTGAAAATTGTGACTCTTTATGGGTGAGGTACCAGATATATATCATCTTCACAACAGATCATGTTGGGGGCTTATTTTTTCACTATCTTGAACCCTGTGAGTGAGATGTACCAGAAGAAATTGTCCGATTGGATTTTGGAGATATATAGCGTGTCAGCCGAAAATATATATGGGAAATTTTTCTAAACCACAACCGATTTTAATATTATTTGACAAATTAATTTTTGTACGCAATTTCTTTACACATTTTAAATTTTATTGAAATTAGAGATACATAGCGTGTTTGGTGCATAAAATACATGAAGTCAGCTCATAATTTATATGGGAGCTATATCTCAATCTGAACCGATTTCAATATAATTTGTCAAAATTATTTTTGTACCAAAATACAAATTTGAAGATTATATTTGTAATCGATAAAAAGTATGTGCATACAAAATCTATTTTTTGGAGGCACCTCCGATTCTGACGCTTTGTCGCCATATCGCTAGTGTCAAGTGGAATTTAAAAAAATTAATATCCTATGCTACTTTCAGGTGATGCTGTAGTATATTTGGAAATGTTCTGAAAAATCTGTTCAGCGCATTTTGAGTCCATGAATTACAAACAAACAATCAAACATACAATCATTCCCCTTTTCTATAGGTATAGGTGTTGCAAATGGAATGACAAAAATTAATATATCCTCCTTTATAAGGTGGACGGTATAAAAATAGAATGGATAAAAATGGATGGGTATAAAAATGGAAATCTAAGACAACTTAGATTTTTAACCCTATGGACCAAATTAAAACTTTGATCATTATAGTCTGTCCATTAGAACCTAGGAAACTCTTACCCTGAAAATCAGAAAATGGACGAAAAATGATTTTCTATTATTGCTGATTTGTTGGGGTTTTGTGGGTCTTTTTCATTTCAATAAGGAAACTGTGTTTTTGAAATTATGTGTGATGCTACATGTACGGATCTTGATGGATCGCTTAATAGATATACACTAGCACGTGCTCGCTACTTCGTCATCGAAAAGTACACCTAATTCAAAATTGGTATTTGAAGTTCGAAATGGATACTACAGCCTAAGACAGAAACTTCTCTGTGCAGGTTCACGTCTTCGTATAGGCCCCATATAACGGTACCTCCCTATATTCGGCATTTTGACGATTTTAGGTACAATACTCACCAAAATTATTTGAGATGTCGTATTTGAAGTTGGTAATGGATGCTACAGCCTGCGACAGAAAATTGTCTATGCAGGTAATTATTCACCGAAGTAGTTTCAAATTACGTATTTAGAGTTCGTAATGGGAACTACAGTCTGTGACAGAAAATTGTCTATGCAGGTCCAGTTCTTCGCATAGGCCCCATATATCAGTACCTCTTTGTATTCGGCATATGGACGATTTTAGGTACAATACTCACTGAAATTGTTTGAGATGTGGTATTTGAAGTTCGTAGTGGATGCTACAGCCTGTGACAGAAAATTGTCTATGCAGGTCCACGTCTTCGCACTGCTCCGATATAACGGTACCTCCCTATATACGGTATTATGATTTTAGCTATATTATTCACCGTTTATTTAAAGTTTCGAATTTGAATATGGTAATGGCTTATGAAAAACAAAGCCGTATTTGTAAATCATCAATAGATCTTAACAACAGACACCAACAGTGTTACCTCTATTTATTTCAGGGCTTCAGCTCTACTTCTTCATTTCCAAAACAACCTCTTTATCACAAAGCTACCACCAACAGGGCCCCAATACCAACTTTTCAAATAACCAGTTTCTCCCGTTTAACCAAAAGGGAAATGCAACAAATTTAGTACAATTTAGTACAGTTCACGCACTTAGTACACATCCAAGACCACCTCCACATTTCAACCTCATTACAAAAATTCAAAAAAATTTCACCACCATCCGATAATATAATTCCAAGTGGTATCAAATTAAGTTTAGTTGTCTATCTTAAACAACATTAAGGACTCTCACTCCAAATTTCAAAATTCCAGATTCTTTCCTTTCAAATACAAAAATTAATATTATTTACTAGTTTTCGTACCTGCCATGTATCAAGTAAACCACACCGAAAAGTGATCCTAATGCCAAATTTTAGACTTCCAACTCAATCCATTACCCAAATGCCAAATTTTGTACCGTTTAGTACTTTTTAGTACGTAATTCAAAAATTTCATACAAATCTCAACTCTTCACACTAACAGTGATCCTTATACTAGTTTAAATTGTAAACAGTGTCCGTTCACGCAACTCTTTATTTTAACCCTGCCCACCAGCAGAGACCCCAATACCAACATATAAAATTTCCAGATCAATCCGTTCAATCAAAACCAAATTGTACTGAATTTAGTTTACAGTACATATGTATGTCGAAACACCAAATGAAACTTTATAATTCTCTTTACAATCCTTTATAATGAGTATTACATCCCGAACTCTGTACAGTCACATTTGAATAAGTTACGTTTGTTCGATATTGTTATAAGCACGGATACTATAACTTTTTTCACTACCAAACAACATTGAATGTGGTTTTCGAAAGTACACAACACTGTTTTAACCAAATACTTTTACAGGAATTCAGAAGCGAGAGAATGTGTGTGAGTGTGTGTGAGAAAGTGAGAGAAAGTCATAAACAGCAAACTCCAAATACACTTAACAAACATTTCACAAAGCACGGCCGCCAAATACATTCAGTTCATTTTGGGAATTCAAAGCGAACGAACGAACTTTAGCGGAAAAACATCGACGAGTGGTCCTAACGTAATAAATGAAGTTCTAGTAGCCACATATACATACACAATTTGCAACGTGTCGTACATATATATATCTTCAAATACATAAATATTGAAATATAAAAAATATATACGTGGAGATAGAAGTAACAAAAGAAAAAATAAATAAATAACTGTAAGAAAAAAGTGGGCCCTGAAGCCTAAAAGTATACTAAATTGTGTTGCAAGAAATTAATTGTGTCTACAATATTAAAGAAAATATTAACCATAGCGGAAAGTGGTGTGCGGGAGAAAAATTTCTTAAGAATTTCCCAAGAATTTATGTGTCAGTGAAGCGAAAGAACGTAGAGTAGACGAAACGATTTCCTTTACCAACAACACAAATCGTGGTGGAGGACAAGAAGTCACAGAATTTAAGTGAAATAAACCCGCAAAAAATCCCAGCACCATATGTTGGGCTGAACACTGACTGATAAGAACAACGCGAAGACTTAAAGAGTTTTAAAGTGCAAAAGAATTTTTAAGGCCAAACTCGGGTGTTGACTTTGTAGAGCAAACAGAGAGTCAGCCGCACGTGAAACCCATATAAACGTGATAAGCAAACATTCGGCATTTGACTTGTATTTTTCGGCCGTTTGCTCAACACAAACGCACCGAACATAAAATTTGTGACAAGCAGAGATAAAAGCCATTCCACGTTTCCCGTCAAGAGCAGCAGGAACAGCACTAGCAGCACCGTGGTAACAACTTCAATATCACTGTAAACCCCAAAGGCTATAAAAGCAAAACACACCAACGCACCGACAGCCACACACACACACACAGAGTGATATATCCATTGTAAGGGAAAAGTGTAATTGTTTTCAACAAACACAGCGTGTGTGCGTGTAAACATCTGGCATAAAGAAAAACCCATACTCCACACACCCACACACATACAGCAACAACTAACTGGGCCATCATCTGTTACACATTCTAAGCCTACGGCAGCAGCGGCATTATGACTGAAATTGTTGAGCTCAATGTAGGTGGTGTCCATTACACCACCACCTTGAATTCCCTGCTCCACGAAAAGGATTCACTGCTTTGCGAAATGTTTTCCGAAGGCCGTGAAAATGTGCTAAAGGACAGCAAGGGTCGCTATTTCCTAGACCGTGACGGTGTGCTCTTCCGTTACATTCTGGACTATTTACGTGATAAGACCCTAAATTTGCCAGAAGGTTTTCGTGAAAAGCAACGCCTTCAAAAGGAGGCCGAATACTATAAGCTGGAGGGCATGTTGGCATGTATGCGCAAGGAGTGTGAGACACGTTCACCCGGCAGCATAACCCTTGGCTATCGTGGCAGTTTTCAATTTGGCAAAGACGGTCTGGCCGATGTCAAGTTCCGCAAACTTTCACGTATCCTGGTCTGTGGTCGTGTCGCCCTGTGTCGTGAAGTTTTCGGCGATACCCTCAATGAATCGCGTGACCCTGACCATGGTGGTCCCGATCGTTACACCTCACGTTTCTTCCTTAAGCATTGTTTCATTGAGCAAGGCTTCGATATGTTGCATGAACAAGGTTTTCGGTTGGCCGGCAGCTGTGGTTCCGGTACTGCTGGTTCGGCGGCTGAGCCCAAGCCGGGTGTGGATGCTGAAGAAAATCGTTGGAATCATTATAATGAATTTGTTTTTGTTAGGGATTAAATGAGAAATTGTCCCAGGCCCAACAAATAACCGTAGGGTCATTATAGCCAATCTTCGCCAACACTACTCCAACTCCACCTCCCCAGAACAAAAAAACAAAAAAAACAAAGACAAATCTAACACAACCAACCACCATAATCACCACCAAAGAATACAAATGTGTATCTGTTCCAGATCATAGTAGGAGATTTCTAGAAGAGATCTTTTAATCTAATTTAAAACTTAGTAAAATTATAAAAACCAAAAAAGAAAGAAAAAAACCTATAAAAATTGTTTGGTAAGAAAGTGAAATAAGTAAATTAGACAAAATAAATATGTATTTATAGAAACTATATGCATTTAAGGACAAAACTTCCCTACTGGAAAGGTAGAATGTATTAACATTTGAAGGCAAAAACGATCAAGGACAATGTGTATCTATATTACATTAGTTACGCAGAAAGAAATATCAATTGAAAAGAATACGGCTACAATTTAGATTCAAATAATCATAATTGCAATTTTTCAGAGAATAGGAAAGGGAATTTTTGCTATAGGATATTTCATTGCAACATATGTAGAAATATAAACATTTCAGTGAAAATTACAGAAATGCTCTCTGCTTATAATAGATAGATTGAAATGCTACTGTAAATTAAGAAAATTACACAATTCAAAAACATTTTATTTGGGATTCGTAACATTTCAATTATAAATCAGGAATTTAATTTATAATTCGTTATGTTCCATTTGAAATAAGAATTATTTTATTTGATACAGAATAATTAATTTTTTTTTGCATTGGCTATGTATTTGGTAATTAAACGCAAAATAATTAGCATAACAAATGGAAAAATTCGAATTTCAAAGTGAAGGATTCAATGTTCAAATGCGATGTTAGGAATCACAAATGAAATTCTCCATTTAAAACAACAATTTTTGGAATTATAGTCGAATTACAGATCGAGTTCAAAATTACAAATAAATTACAAATAAAATGCAATTAAAAAATCTTCCGAAACCTTCAAGATGCTTAAAATACTGGTACCGTACCTTGACGTAATAGCGAATAATACATTGTGCTACAGGCAATCTGGGTGTTGGGTAATTCTGAGTAGGATGATGTATTCGTTTAGTAGATCAAATTATGATCAGAATAGAAGCCCATTGCTTTTGGAGATGATCGCAAAATAGTAAGGTGGTTGAAATGAACCAAAAACTGAAAATTTTCCTAATTTTGTAGTTCTCTATAGAGCTTAGGGCTGGGCATAAGTCTTCCAATTGGGATGGATGTCGGGGAATATTTAGTGGGTAAAATAGACCATAACATTTGTGTTAAATAAAAGTCAAATTTTCCATTAAACCGTGAATATTTTTAATCCCGGCGAAATCACAAATAGTCAATTCTGACCATTTCGTAAATGCCGATAGTAAATATATCGGATATATATGACTTTTATTTTGCAGCCGTAATAAAGGCCACAAATACACACCAATGTAAATGAAATAGGGGTAGAATGGACCACTACTTTTGTACGAAAAAAATACCAACATTTTCAGTCTACCGAAATGCTGAAAATAACTTACAGGCGATATCCAAAATACACAAAAGGTGAACTTCTGGCTTTTTATGCTAATTTCTTTGACGAATATAGCCAAATATCGTAGACAAACAAATCATATAGATGGGTCTAAATTTGGAGATACTTTTGGAGATGATCGCAAAATATCTAGAGCTTCAAATGAACCAAAAGCAGACAAATGTTCCTGATCACTCAATTGAAACCAATCGACACGGAATTTTACATGAGAAGATAGTTAAGGACAGGGAAGAAGTCCATTGGATTATATTTAGATGTAAAATGGACTACAACAAGTAAAAACACGACAGAGTGCGTAAATATTGGGCAAATACCCCTGGTCAAAAAGCTATGGGTAATATCTGGACAATGATCTATGACATAATTTCAAAAGCGAAATCTTCCAAAACGGATTTGGACATAAGGGGGCTTCTAACATATTGTAGTGTTGTAGGGTATCACATGGTCGAACCCGCACGACTATAGCCTTTGTTTACTTGTTTTCAAACTTATTTCAGCAAATTTTTGATTTGGCCCTTATTTGTCATCTTGGATTATAAGGGGGTAGAAGAAAGCTTTCAATGATGGTTCAAAGGTCTTCACCACATATTCCAAGGATTTGGGTATTTGTATTTAGGCTACTTTTGAGGTAAAAATCTTACACAGAAATTTGTATTTTTACCATACAACTATTCCCCATATCCACCGATCTATAACCCTTTGGCGCACAATCTGTATGTTATGGTAATGGGTGTAAAAGAGTAATTAACATTGGCTATTCTTAAATCATGCTGCCCTCAATTATGAAGTGAGCAAATTCCAAATTACTGCTGACTGGAAAATTTTGCTAAGATTTTTACGATGCTAAAAATTAAGTTGAGCCCTTACACGGGGGTAAGGTTGATATATACTTTTTAATGGATTTGTAAAGCACAATCACACATTTTGGTCGCTATCTTTCACATTGAAGCCACCGGCTTCAAAATAGGAGCAGGGCTTATAAAACACTTTAAATCGACCAGTGCAGAACACTTATATCAGCCATATCTCTGGATAATTATGCTTTGAAAAATATGCATAATAGACAAAAACTGCGGGCCGGCAACGCCCACCGGGTCAGCTGGTATTCTAACTAAAAAGGAATAACAATTTGAATACTCTAAATAGAACTGAAATGATTTGAATTACAATTTTTATTCATGAATCACAACAAATAATACGTAAAAATGATTTAAAATTTAAGTAGAACCACATGTAATTTAATCCGGGAAGGACTTCTGATACCCTCCGTAACGACTATAGCCTTTTATTTTTAATATATTTTGAATTATTTCCAAAATATGTTTCTTATTAATAATCCTTATTGTAAACTCGCTGTAAAATGTCTGTACAATTCCTCAACTACTGAATATCCGGCACCAAATCATCGTTGTGTGGGGGCTATTCGAAAATGTAGACTGATTTTCATTTGCTTATTTATAATTGCGAAAGAACATTTCAAGAAAGCTTCCAAAAATGTCGCAAAATTTGGAAAATAGAAACCTGAACCTGGTTTGGATTGAAAAAGGCCTACATCATTCCACGTTTAGGTATAGCATAAAAATTTCCACAATTGATCAACTATTTGGTATAGATCCTACGCAATGGTATTAGAAGTTGTTGGTACCAACTATCGCCTGAATTGGCATTCATTTGATATTTTAAATTCTCATTTGATAAAATAGAAATCGTCCAAATATATCCTTTAAATATCGTTTGGAAATTTTCAAATCATAATGATAGCGATATATTTTCATTGTATATCCAAGGTATGAAAATTAAAGGGTAGCCTTGAATTTTTATGGTTGTTGTAGGTCAGATATTCGATATATGTATATGACGTATATGTTAAGTTGGGATGACGATGTCCATATTCCTTAAAACCCATGATATAAAACGATCAGTTTTTCCAAGGATCGTATTTGCCAAATAACAGACAATTTGGGCAAATATATTTTCAATTTGTGGTTAATTTGATATCTCAGATTGCTTTGAAGATAATGGAACTTATCTACTTACTCCCCTTTTTAAGGGTATAATGATATAGCTCTCTTCATCAGAGTCCTTAAGATTATGCAACCTCCCAAACAATTATACCCCCAAATACTAAATATTGCTCAGTGTTCTGTTGCAATCCTTTGCCTACATTCTGCCGATCAAACCTTTATTATATTTTCCATTTTGTGAAACCTTCATCAAACAATGGCTGCTAAAAATATTTCTCTCATTAATATTCAAGGATACATATCCTCAAAATACAAAATTTTAAAACTAAATTTAAAAATACAATTTTATAAATTCCATTAGCGTAAATGGACAAAATCAATTTCATACATTTTTTATGAATTCCTATTGTTTGAGCATTCTATCATGAATTCTGGACAAAGCTTGAGTGAATTATTTGCTGCCACACACAATGAATGGTTGAATAAATGGATGGACGAACGGACGGACGAGACGAAGAAAGAAAAAGGTAGAGAACGGACGAATGGAATGTATGCACATTATTTTATTTATTCATTTCATTATAGTCTACCGTTAGCTTCAGATATACCAGGAAATTGAACAAAACAACAACAATGACCAGTGTGTGTGTATGATTGATTTGCAATTTTCCACACAAATGAACAAGGTAGTAGTAGTAGTGGTAATTTGCAAGGATAGATAGTATAGGAATGGGGAGTATGTATAAGAAGAAAGGCTAACGGCCATACTTGGTTTGAATTTAGGGGTGTAGGAAAAGATGTTTTAATGAACAAAAGCTTTTTTTACCAAAAAACATGGGTTGTACAGAAATTATGACAAATATCCCAACATCTGCAGATGGTTATAAAAATAGGCTGAATACCGGAGAAGAAAATATCTATTTCGCTAAAGTCTGATAGAATTTATTCATATTCCAAATTATTTAAATTTGAGAAAAGCATAAACTATCCTCATTTGTTCCAATTATTCTTTCATAAAACTAGGTCAGGGATTCCTTCAATTCTTTTTCAATGAAAAAAGATGGGCATTTATTGATATTTTATGAAATGGAAAATTTATTGAGCAGGAACTATGTGGTAAGATGGAGCCTAAATTCAATTCATCGTGGAGTCATTAGCAAATCGGAATATTCCTAATCGAATTATATGAGTCTAAATCGAAAACAATAACTCGGCTTCAAATCGAAAATCTAGACATGTGATATCAATTGCCATTGAAATAGAAGCGAATTGCATACCTTTTTATACCCTCCACCATAGTATGGAGGGTATACTAAGATTGTTATTTCTTTTGTAATACCTCGAAATAAATATCTTAGACCCCACATACTGTAAATATTTTTGATCAGCATAAAATTCTATGTCGATCTAACGATGCCCGTCTGTTTGTCTATGCAAATCACTATAGCTTCTGTATAAAATTAAGTAGATTGATCAAATTTTACCCAGATCTGTGTTAGGTCTGCAGGACTATTGGTATTGAAAATGACCAATGTAGGTCCGCATTTTGGTGTATATTTACATACACAATTTTAAAACGAATTTGCTGTAATTGTTTTTTTATAGCTTCATTTTGATGACGTATACCATAAACTATTATAGGTGCGGTTGTTTTAAATTTATCTCGTTTTAGTAGGGGATTTAGGTTGCTTGAATAATAAGCTGGTTGAAATTTCATGTACATCACATAAGGTAATGCGAAGCGGTTCTATCAAATTTCAAATCAAGATCGTCGTAAGGATACGTGTCAGAGTTCAAATGAATTTTCACGTTTGCCAAATAACAGGGTATAAATTCATTTTTATAATTTCGAAATGCTAGTAAAACAAATCTAGGTCTTTCATTTTCGTTTGCCAACTTAAGGAAGCCAAGGATAACAGCGAAGAATAACAGTACATATCCCATGTTCTGAAAAATATACCAAATGGTTCTCGATTATTAATTCTCTTCAACATATTTAATTTTTTGAGTATCAGCCAGTTGTATATGTGGTATTTTCCAAGTTATATTTAAACTTGATAATTTACATACTTTGGATGCAATGATGGATTCCAACACTTGTTTATCGTCTTTAGATCGTAATAAAATAAGATCATGTTTTGCATTAGCAATAATTTTATCAAAATCTTCTGCAAACCCAAGTAATATTTTAAGAGGTACACAGAAATTAAATTTAAATAACCACTTAGAAGAGAAAGATCATCTGTATTAGTTCCATCCCATCCAGCATTCACCAAGCTCTCACTTTCATTCGTGTTCAGAGAGACATAGTTTTTTATCTCCGATGAGACGCCCAAATTTCTTGTGCGATCAATTTCGATTCCATTAAGTTCATACCGTATTTCATCAAACATGTGAGCTACACAATTATTTTGTAAGTTCACGGATAAAGATACCGTTAAATCTTCCTTCGTAACAAATCCTTCGATGTACAGGGTTGCCCATATTCGACGGACCCATCTGGCAATGCCATAACTTTTACAAGAAGTCATTTGTGAAAACTCAACGTGCTTTTAAAACATTATAAAATGTGAGAAGTGCGCCTTCTAAGAATACCATTAAGCGTTTATACGAAAAATTTTCGACTGGTAAGGCTCTTTCTAATCCAAAGAGGCCATATAAAAGTCGACCAAGGCGATCGGAGGTCCCCAAGAACATCCCAAAAACGCCGTTCTCAGCAGTTGGGCATGGCTCGGCCCACTTTACAACGGATTATTCGCATTGATTTGCATTTGTTCCCGTACAAAATTCAATTGACGCAAAGAATGTTGCCTGCGGACAAGCCTCGTCGATTGGAATGGGCCCAAAGGGCCCAAAGGTCCGTCGAATATGGGCAACCCTGTATAGAAGACTTTTACTGGGTAAAACATATAAATCTTGATTTTGAATGTTTGTAGACAAGATGAATAACTGTGATACTCTTAATACTGATACTTATAATCGAACTGTCGATTTGCTGTTTCTGCAATACATTAATACAATTGCACATTTTTATTTGTTTTTTTTTTTTACTTTAAATCCCAAACTTCGTAAAAACTCCTGATTGATTGAATTTAGTGAACAAGATTCACTCTCTTTATTTTTTTTTAATAACTTGTTCGTGTTGAATTTCGTTTTCAATCGGTCGTCAGTTTAAAGTGCTTTAAAAATTTTAAATGACGAAAAACCAAACAACCTTGGCGGTGCTATAAAAATCGCTAAAATGTTATAACAACAAACTTCAGGAGAAAAAGAAAGTCCAACATTATGATACCACGAGTAATCCCAGTTCCAAAAATTGGTGGTTTTTTACCACTTGTTCCAGTCTTAACCGCCCTTTCAGCTATCGGAAGTTTAGCAATAGGCGGAACAGCTATTGCAAAAGCCGTCAATGCAATTAAAAATGGAAAAGAACAACTAGCTGAAGCAACACGACATAATAGACATATGGTTTATATCTTAAAACTTATAAAAGTGGATATGGATTGTATTACTCACCAGATCCAAAAAACTATTGAAAAATCTACCCAATCGTCCACTTACCGATATTGATTCATACAGTTATACTAAACCTTTGAAAAAGTTTAGAGGCGTTTTTATACGAGATTCTCTACAAAAGAAACCTTGGTTACAGGAATGTGGAATAATAAATTTAGATATCTGTGATGGACCTGTCACACATTGGGTAGCATATTATAAACACAATGACTACAAGAAATATTTTGACAGCTTTAAAATTATTTCTATTTAGTCTTTTTGTTATGCTACGTTTTACACCTTTAACTTTTTTTACAACTAATTCCCCTTTATCCACTCTAAAATAATACATTTTTGATCTTAAACCAATGAATTCTTTCATAATTTTTCCATTACATTCATCTTTCATCATTCGCAACACCTTTTTATTACATAACGGAAAATTAAACATATTATCACGGGGATATGATGAAGTATCAAAATGTTGTGGAATATCTTGTTTAATATCATCATAAATATCTTCAGTCCATGTAGTATAAATGAAAGAATCAGTGTCCATGTAATTGAGTGAGAGCTTTTTTTATTGAATTTTGGTTTCATATAACTATAATGAAACTCATACATCTTATATTTTGATATTCCAACACTGCAAATCCAATAAAAATAGGTTTATTGTAGACTACACGAACTCTGTTCATTTTAATAATTAAAAAATTTTCGGAAATTCTAGATGAACTATGAAAATTCGGTTTAGCAATAAGCGCTCGAGCGCCTAAACGTGTTCCTTTACTTTCCCAAGAGCAAACTATTCTAATATCTTGTCGTTTCTCAACGTTTTCCATTGTCTTTCCGTAAACGGCATTGTTCATTAATTTGAAAAAGTTTTGGTCATAAGCGTTCTTAGATGCTGTTCTATGTTCATTATTTAAATCAATGTAGCTCTTTAACCAAACAGATTGTTGAAATTCAATAATTCTATGAATTTTCTTTAATATCATTCCATTTTGTAAACATTGTTGCAAATTTCTATAGTGTATAACATATTTTGTTTTGTTATTTAAATCTGTTATTAATCTAGTATGCTGCATAAATTAGTTCCTTTTATTTTCTGTGCAGAATGGTAAATCGTTATGGTAATCATGCAGTTCTGTTGGATATGTAATGTTATTTACATTAAAATATTCTACATTGTCTACTCTCCTAAAATTGCCATGGGGTAAAAATTCCGACATAGCGTAACCGCATAAGTTATTAACATCAAAGTACATAATATAAACTGACGGTTTACTCGGATCATTATCACTCAGATATTTATTATTGGCTTCGAACTCTACACCTGTCATCTTTAAAATGGCATCCCAATTCAAACCAGGTGTTGTGAAATATTGACATGGATCTAAATTATAATTTTTTTTACATACCTGTCGAAAATTTTCAAATACATCACATAATAGTAGAACATGAATCTTTAGATTCAACAACCAATAATCTAACAAAGTCTCACATTCAAAATTTTCCCAAACCTTTTTAGCATGATCATAATCATCTATACTACATTCCTCATCAGTCATTTTATTATAAAAATTTGATCGGCTAGGTAGTTGTGTCTCCGACAATCTTTCTTCGCAATTTAAATAATCGTAGGGACACACTCTTTTACGTTTCCTTAAAATAAACTTATTTTCGTCAGCGTATGCTTTTTTCACAACATTAAAATCTTTATCATCTAAAAATTCGGTTCTGCGATAAACTTGATTTCATAAATTTGTAAGAGTCTAGAAAACGCCTTTCGAATAAATTTCCATTTTGAACCCCAATTTTTGTTTGATATTGATGTATATATTTCCTTATTTTGTGAAATAATCTTTATTTCACCTTCAGTGGATGGTAACTCTCGGACAAACAAATGCGCGTCGTATGAAGAAAGATTGTGATAAAAATTAGAACAAAACTAGGAAGTTGAAAATTTAAGTTACAACTGTTATGAGCTGGTCCCCTATACTTTCCCGTCATATACACACTAGGCCTTTGGATCTGAATCGGTATGATATACCTATTTACATCACACCCATATCCACCTATCAATATGACTAAATCCCTGAAAATGGGATCAAAATTGAAAATTGTTACCAAATTTACTGTCCTTGCTTTCTCCCTAGCCATTTTAGCAAATCAATGCTGATCAAATGTTAATACAATTTACTTAACTGAAAAAAAAATCTAAAAAATCTGTTAAATGAAATACATTATATTATACATAGAATTATTAAAAACAAACACTATTGATTTTATATAAATTATATGAAATGCTGAGATGACTAAAATCATATTTAGCCAAATTGAGATGCGATATATTAAAAAAAAAACTATAAAATATAGAAAAAATAAATAAAAGAAAACTGTATAACCCTAAGACTTTACAACTAACTTTAAAAACAAACAACAACTTTGTAAGAATATATTATTTAATTTTGAAAATTTAATTTTCTATTTCCTCTTTAAGTTCATATCTGTGTAAATGTGAAATTTAACACACAAAACAAACTAATAAAGAAATAGAACAGAAAACAAATATTAAAAATTGGAACAATGAGGCCAACATGAAAATAAAACTTAATAAAAATACCAAAAAATAAATAAATAAAAATTCTCATTAAAAATTAAGAATTCTTTTACGGGTATTGGCGTGGTAAGAGAAACAAAATCAGGAAGCAAACAATTTTCCCCTTAAGTAAGGTTATATAAAAAACCAACCCATATTTACGTTAGTGGAAACTGGTAGAAATACCAGGAATTTGGGGGGTTTACATAAAAAAAGTTTTCTCTATGCTACGCCCATGTAAAACGAATGCCTGCATCTTCCTGTTGTTTTTATAGTCACTATAAAATGCAAATTTAAATAAAAATTGTTCAGAAACCCAACAACAACAAACAAAAGGTAGGTACCCAGTTTTTTATGACTACGCAAATTGTTTTATGACCTGCATGCAGGAAATCCATTTAATCTCCTGTTAATGATTTTTTGTAAGCATCAATAAAAACTGAAGCTATTTTAATTTCATGCTTAAAAGTTCAAACCTATGAAAAGTCATTAAAACTCGAAAGTATCACATGGAAGTGTATTTAAATTAAGGGTCGGCACATTTGCATTCACAAAATTGAGGGGAAAGATTGGAGGAACGGGGGCTTGTTATATTAACTTATGCTAATGGTAATGGTAAGTATGTGTAAGCTGTGTTTATCAAATCAAATTTCAAGCATTTTTTTTGTTAGGGAGGAGATATTAAAAGGATAATAATTAAAAACATAAAAACGAACATGTAAAGGTAATATTGATGTGGGCCTATGTTTAAAAACCTTTACAGGCAAAGCAGAGGTTAGTTTCTATAAAGCAAAAAAGAGTCACATAATAAATCAGCAAGGTTTTGGGAGGAAGATGAGCCGAATGACTGATTGCTAGGTAATGTAAATCAACAACCTTTGGATTACCCAGAAGGTTGAAAATATTAAGTAATTCTTAAAGTGAACGACTAGGCAAACGTAATCACCAAGTAATGAGTTACCGTGACTATTAGTTTAATACACCACCAAACGCCAGCAAATTTAGAAGAAAATTATAAAAACAAGTAAATAAGCAGCTAAGTTCGGCAGGGCCGAACTTTTGATACCATCCACCATTTGGAAGAAACTTTAAAAATTTCAAAAAAATTGTGTCGGAAAATACCATTCAAATGAAAACCGTTATATGGGGGCTATAGGAAGACGTGGTCCTGCATAAGTAATTTGTGTCATAGACTGTAGTAATTGTTCCGAATATTATATATGACTTTTGAAACAATTCCGGTGAATAACATCGCAAATGTCATCAAAATACCGAATATCGGTGGGCTACCGTTATATGGGGAATAAGCAATATCGTGTACCTATATAGACCATTCATTTTCAGGGGGTAAAGTACTCAAAAAAAAAAAAAACTCATTGTGTAGAATTTCAGACAATTGCATTGAACATTTTTATCTGAAATCATCAAAATACGGAATATCGGGCGGCACGGTTATATGTATGGGGGCGATACGATATCGTGGACCTATATAGACATTTCTCTTCTAGGGGATAAAGAACTCATAAGAAAATTCTTATGTGGATTTTCAGACAATTTCATAGAAAAAAGCAGCGGCCGGGCCAAAGTTTTGATACCCTCCATCATTTGGAAGAAACTTGGAAAATTTCAAAAAAATCGCGTCGGAAAATACCGCTGAAATGAAATTCGTTATATGGGGGCTATACGAAGACGTGGTTCTGCATACGTAATGCGTGTCATAGGCTGTAGTAACTGTTCCGGACTTTATATACGACATTTGAAACAATTCCAGTGAATAACTTCGAAAAAGTCATCAAAATACTGAATATCGGGGGCTACCGTTATATGGGGAATATACAATATCGTGTACATATGTAGACAATTCTACTCACAAAGAACTCCTTGTGTAGAAATTCGGATAATCGTCGTCTTAGAATTTTACGCAGATCGAATGTATATACATTGTTGGGTCTACAATTATTATTTCGATGAGTTACAAACGAAATGACGAAATGACCGAGAAGGCCCAGACGAAACGGCTGAATCTAGAATCTTTAAATTCTGCAAGAGGCGTATAGTATAGATGTACCAAAGGGTTTTTGGAAATTCAAACTTTGAGGTAACGAAAAGTTCTAAAATACTATATTATCAGAATGTATAGATCTTAAAAATTGTATAGATCTAAAAACATGTATCACAAGTGCACGAAAAGTACTAAATAGTACTATATTTGGTACAATTTAGTATTGGATGAACTGACAGTACTTGAAATCTGAAATTTGGTATTAATGTTCAATGTTTATGTGTAGCATGGTCATATGGAAGTGGTTGCAAAAATATATACTACTAGTTGAACCCGGTACGCTTCGCAGCCCCTTTTGAATTTATATGCATTGAAAATTTTATATGCGAATATTTGTTGGTTAAAAAAAGACAAATTCAAAAACGTAATTATTGTAACATATATATGCGTACACAAACAAATACCTCGGTCTACCAACACGTGAATATGCCAGGAACATCTGAAAATGAGAAAAGAAGGAACATGCCAAATTTAGTCTGCATACACGAAGGGTTTGTTCTTGGGATTGATTAATTTTATAGCAAATGCCAGAGGGCTGGAAACTGTAATCTTTTGAAGTTGAGTGACATTTCTGTTGCAATTAGAGAATTCGAGGAAGCAACACACTTCCCCGTAAAAATCCGTTCCTCAATAAAATTTTGAAAAAATTTACTTTTGCACCAAATTCCGTCAAACCATCCATATTTCATTGAAATTGGAGGTATATACCGTGTTTTGTGCATCAAATGTGTTAAATCGGCCGAGAGTATATATATGGGAACTATATCCAAATCTGAACCTTTTGAGATATTTGTTGTCATTTTTAATATCACATGATATATTTTCAATTTTACCTACAATATTGAATTGTACATTTTATATTATTTTTATACCCTACATCATTATGTTTTGGGAATATTATTAGTTTGATTAGTCCAAAATTCACGTAATTCGTAATCACGCTACTGGTCACAAATAAGGCCCAATCCCCACGAACGGGCATGAAGGAAGGGGTAGGGTCAGAATAGAACCCTATTGTTTTTGGAGATGATCCCAAAGTATTTAGGGGTTAAAATGTAGCCCAAACATTTCCTGAATTTGCAGTTGCTCTACAGGCCACAATTAAAGGCGTTGTTTTGCAAGGCGTAGAGTTCAGGGCTGGGGAGAAGCCCACCAATACAATATTTAGCAGGTAACATAGACCATAATATTAATATTAAAAATATGAAAACTTCCACTAAAACCGAATATTTTTAATCCCAGTGAAATTTCAAATATATTAAAGGGTCAGTCCTGACCGTTACATTTACCTTGATAGCCAAGATATCGGCCATTTAGCAATATAGGTATAATATATTTAAAAAAAAAAAATTTATTAGTTATTCAACAATTCTTAGTAATTTAGAATGGCCTCTTGCCAAAAAGGATAAAATCTAAATAAATCTCCTTAAAATATTTAAAAAAAGTTATTATTTTGTGTGATATATATTATAATTTTTTGTCATATTTCTCATCGCATGAGATTTTTTCAATTTGACTAACAATATGGAATTGTACATTTTGCAATATTTTCCCTTACAACACTATGTGTTGTGGGTATTATATGCAGGTCCCAATTGTCGTCCGATCCTCACGAAATTTTACACGGGGTAAGGTTGGGGTCAGAATATAAGCCTATTTTTTTGATGATGTATATTAAGGGGTTAAGGGGTTCAAAAAAAAAAAACAGTAAAGAAAGTCTTAAAGTCGGGCGGGGCCGACTTTATGATACCCTACACCACTTTGCTAATTTAGTAGAGCTGCGCATAACAATTAAAAGTTTTTATGGGAGAATTCAATCATACACGCTATGATTATAATTATAATTTAAAGTTCAAAGGACTAAATATGCCGAAGCATTTGTATCTTTTAAATTCGGACTTGTATTGCCGATTTGGTGCACAATTCATTTGAAATCGGATAAAAATATATATGGGATCTATATCTAAATCGGAACCGATCTCGATAAAATTTGGCAAAGGTATTTCTGAGCTGTATTTGATATATTTCCCTAAATACCGTTGTTATGGAGTGCATATTACGGTTGTGGGTAACAAATATGACAAATCGGATGAACTGTATATATGGGAGCTATAGCTATATCTGAACCGATCTTCACCAAACTTTACATACTAGCTTCTAGACTCAATTCAGTCGTAAGTGCAAATTTCATCCAATTTGGCAAATATCAGACGTTTGGAACACAATTAAAGGTAATTCGGACGAAGTTATATATGGGAGCTATATCCAAATCTGAACCGATCTCGATAAAATTTATCAAATGTATTTCTAAGATGTATTTGATATATTTCCCCAAATATTGTTGTTACAGAGTGCATATTACGGCTGCGGAGGACAAAAATAAATAAATGAACAATATATATGGGAGCTATAGCTATATCTGAACCGATTTCGATCAAATTTGGCATACTTATTTTCAGGCCTAATTTGGTTGTATGTGCGAAATTTCATACTATTCGGGCTGATATTACACGTTTTGTGCACAATAAAAGGCAAATCGGACGAAGATATATATGGGAGCTATATCTAAATTTTTACCGATTATCTCCAATTTCAATAGGGTTCCTCCTTGGGCCAAAAAAATGTTGTTTGCAAAGTTTCATCTCAATCGGATAATAAATGCGACCTGCATTTTGTTCACAAGAATACATGGACAGACGGACTGACATGCATAAATCAACTCAGAAAGTGTTTCTATGCAGATCATCAAAAGGAGCAATGGGTCTATCTCGTTTCCTTTAGCCTGTTACAAACAAATGCACAAAGACATAATACCCTGACCACCTTGTGGTGTAGGGTATAAAAAAATAAAAATTCTGTCGCTCTATATGTCACAATTAAAAACCAATCTGCATGAAATTTTGTAGGGCCGAAGTCAAACATTTTGGGTGACCATAGAAATTGTTTTGAGTACCGA